TTCTAATTTCTTCATCCATTTCAGCATTTCGTATGTCTTGCAACTGTAGGGTGCAGTTCATTTTGTTGATAGCTAGAGCACAATTCAGTTTTTAGTCCCATTTCTGTAGTCTTACTTTCAGTCTGAATATAATCAGATATGAGATTTGTGTTGTTCAAGCGTGAGTGGATATAGATATATCCAGTTTTGGTATTTTTTTTTAATTAGATTAATTTTGAAAAAGTTGGTTTGGTTAATTTTAGTGGGATAATACGTTTGTATTAAAATAATATTTAATGTAAAATGATTAAAGTTGATTTGATGAAAAAGTAGAGACATGTGATTATATTGATGAAAAAATTATGTGAGTGGATGAATTGTGAATTGAAGTTGATGTGATGTGTAAGGACGATTGATTGATATTATTGAATTATATTGATAATATTGACGATAGTGGATTTGAGTTAAAGTTGTGTTAGATTTTGAGTCGGGATTAGATTTGAGCATGGATATCTCTATATCCACTCACGTCCTCCCATGTTAATGATGTAAAATATTATGAAAATATTGTTTGACGTTTAAAGTACATGTCTTGTTGAAGGCTTTGAGGGAATCACTGAAAAAGCCGAATAGTGATAAGGTTGAATCATGTTCATATCCCATGGCACCTATTGCTGTCGTCCGCTCATGTTTTTCGACACGGTAATCTCACAATTTAGTTTTAGTCCAGTCCCCGTTTTGCAACATTTTCTTGTTTTTGGCGAAATAAAATGGCTGTCATAAATCATCAACTAATTCCTATTACATGTCTGGAAATTTGTATTTGTGTCAGGAATGGGACTCCAAGACAGCCTTTGCTTGTACCCTTAGCAAAAGCATCCTTGATTTTTGATTCTGCTCGTGTCCCTCAAGCATCTCTTGAAGGCCTAGAAGAGTATTCACACTGTTGGATTATATATGTTTTCCATTTGAATACGGATCTTGAAAAGTTATGGAAACACCCATCACAGTCTAAATTTAAGGCAAAGGTTTGTGTCCTTTGTATTTTTGAACTTTATTTTATGTTTTTCTTCCCGGATATGTACAAGGATGCGATGACGTATGTCCGAACATGTGGGGGCGACACCAGCGACTTCCCAATTAAACTAGGACTACACCAGGGGTCAGCATTGAGTCCTTATCTATTTGCCTTGGTGATGGATGAGGTCACAAGGGATATACAAGGTGATATCCCTTAGTGTAGGCTCTTTGCTGATGATGTGGTGCTAGTGACGAGAGTAGAGCAGGGGTAAATAAGAAGTTGGAGTTGTGGAAGGACGCGTTAGAGTCGAAAGGTTCAGACTTAGTAGGACGAAGACCGAGTACATGACGTGCGCTTTCAGCATGGCTTCACATGATGATGGTGACGTTACCCTTGACGGGCAAGTGGTGGCTACAAAAGGATGGCGGCATTGATGCTGATGTTAGGCATAGAATTGCAGCCGATTGGTTGAAATGGCGTCGGGCGTTCTCTGTGATAAGAGGGTGCCACAAAGGCTAAAAGATAAGTTCTATAGGACGGCGATTCGCCCGGTGATGCTATACGGTGCTGAATGTTGGCCTACAAAAAGGCAACATGTCCAACAACTAAGTGTAGCAGAGATGCGTATGTTGCGTTGGTTCTGTGGGCACACAAGAAGGGATAAAATCCGGAATGAGGATATTCGGATAGGGTCGGGGTGGCCCCAATTGAGGAGAAATTGGTTCAACATCGGCTGATATGGTTCGGACATGTCCAACGGAGGCCTCCTGATGCACCGGTGCGTAGGGGAGTTCTACAGCGGGTTGAGGATGTTAAGAGAGGTAGAGGTCGGCCTAAACTCACTTGGGAAGAGTCGGTTAAGAGAGACCCTAAAGATTGGAATATCTCCAAGGATTTAGCGGTGAATAGGAGCGCTTGGAGGCTCGCTATCAACGTGCCAGAACCGTGACTTTTGCTCCTTTCTCTCTCTCTCTCGTTTTTGTTTTGTTTTTGTTTTTTTTCGATCTCTTCCTTTTGGTTCGAGTCTTTTTGGGTTTCTCTTGGGTTTCATCATCTCTAGCCTACCCCGACTTGCTTGGGACTAAAGGCTATGTTGTTGTTGTTGTTGTATTTTATGTTTTTCTTCCTCTCTCTCTCTCTCTTTAAATTTATGGTTCCTAGCGAGTTCTGTAAGATGGTTGAGTGCATGGGTAGGTAAGGGTACCAAGACTCAAAGGTGAAAGAATTGGAGTCTTTGCTACAAGATCTCCTCATCGTCTGTGCCCCATTGGACTGACTGTAGCTAAGGTATTGTTATATTGCACTATGACAAAATATCTTCCAAAATGGTTTTGTTGAAGTTCCTTTGCTTATCACTTTGTTTGTATCAACAAATCCATGAATTTTGCCTTTGTGTACGCAATTCAGAAGCTTTGGGAATAAAATCACACTTCAACTATCAACTTTGCAGGCAGACCTATTTTCTTTGAAAAAATCGGATTCCATGTTAAAAAGTTATGTTTGATCCATAATTGGCTCAATCAAATTCTGTTGCCAAATTTGAACCCTCATTGTTTAATCATGTAGTTCTGTATTTCTAATTATTTGTTTGTGGATATAGTTGCATGTTATATTTCCATTTTTTAGTTTATATCTATTAACAACTCCTATGCTGATGCCTCCTTGGCAAAATCTCTTGGGGAGAAAATATTTGTTATGGCAGAACTTTATGCCCATGACAAAATTACTTTCTAGGAATTGAAGAATCTATTCTTTGCTCCTTTTCAAATAAAATTTATGCAAATTCGCCTTTTGGCCGTTTTAGGTCGAGGCAGTACATGGGCATACGGTCTTACTCTCTGGCGTGGATCTGGTTGATGGAACTGTAAGTTCTCGATTTTTGCATCAGTAGCTATTTTATGTAAAAGAAATTGTCTCATTTGTTTTCTTCGTCTTATAAGTACGTTTATATGTAACAGTAACACAACCTACTACAACTATTATTACAGCCTGTTCTGGACATCAAACCTTATTTGCCGTATTGTGACAACATTCAAGGAGCAATGGTACCTGACTGGGTGAAGGTACATTTTGTGATACGTTTTCTTTGAATATTCCCCAGAAATGTATTCACTTCATTTGTTATAGTTTAGTTTTGAAAAGCCAAGTTATGTTCTAAAATATTGAATACAAAAATATTTCTTGGACCTTTTTTAAAAAAATAAAAGAATAAAATAAAACTTGTGCCTTTTGAGGTAGTCATCTTTTGTGTAACAAAGACCAACTTCCAGGTGTTTACTTGCAGTTCATAAAGGCTGGAGTTTCAATTACTGACGTATTCATAACTATCATGAAGCTTGAAGTTGTAGAGGGAACCATATTTGAGTTGCTATAATCTTTTAGTTACTATGCAAGTCTACTCTAATGATGTATCCCACCAGGAAGTTGTGACCTTTTTTTTGTCCATTTTTTTAACAGGTGGACAATGTGTTGGCTGTAGCTTCTGTCGACTTCTCTGAAAGCTTTTTTTCCAGTCTAGTTGATTGTTGGTCATTGTTGGTAAGACCTCAGAACTAACTTCACTAGACTAGGCAGTTTTTACAAAAATGCCTAATTTCAGACAAATTTAGTTAACTTACAAAATTACAAATTGCTGTTTTTCTTTTGTACTTGGTTTAGAAGATATTTTTCTTTTTTGAAAGGTTTACTTTTGTTATTGTTATTATTATTGGATTTAACCTAATGGTATTTTTGTAATAGTTAATTGTTAAGTTGAAATGACTGAAACATAACTGAAAATTCGTGAAACTAGCTCCTCTTCGTGTTATTTCCTGGAGTAGCTGAAACTAGTTTTTTGTTTGAAGACAAACAATATAGTTGTTATGGGTTACTGAGGGAACAAAATTAGAAGGTCTGTATTTCCTGAAATAAATGAACAAATAAAAGACGAAATAAAATAATAACCAACAACTCCATAATGCAACACTTAAACCCCTCCCTCAACACGGCACATTGGAATAAAATATAAATGTAGATATTAACTTGCTTCACAACAATTTTGCTTACTTTTAAGTTGAAAAAATATTCCACATGCTTAAATGTTCCTTCATTTGCTATGTGGGCTGTATAAAAATTATTCTTCCTAATTCATCAAACAATTTCCAAATATCCTTGTTGAAGATGGTTGCTGTTGTGATGTTGAAGATGATCAAGAAGTTCACAATGGCAGTTATTACCTTTCATTTCTTTGGTTAAAGTTGTGTTGCGTTTCTTTTATTTCTGTTTTACATTTTGTTTTAGTTAGCTAAGTGCAAAAGGTTTCGTTTTGAGCATGTGAAATGGCACCGTTTATTCCTTTTCCTGTATGCGAACATGTATGTACAATTTGGATTTGGATCAGATGTTTTGAGCTATATGAACACTGAAATTGATCTGTAAGATGAAATTGGAAAATCTTGCGATTCAACAATCCTCAATTTCCAAATTATGAAATAAACTGGATTTATTCTTCTAAACAAATAACATGTGTGATTTTATCTTTCCGTCTTTTCCTCAGGATAAGAAGTCACTTTATGCTTCACCCGATGAATTCCAGTGCTTGATAAGGCAGGTGCTCTCATGGGACATAAGGTCTGTGTCCCAAAGAACTCGTCCTCATCAGCCTAAAGCAAAAGTTGAAGCTGAAACTATGAGCTATGATGATGATGATGATATTGAGATGATAGTAAATAGGTTGGATAACAATTCCCAAGAAGATGAAGCTTCGGAAAATGGAGTAGGTGAGCTTGTTTTCTCTCCAACGAGCGATGATGTTGTTTATCACCTAATATTGGAAGGCCTCAATGTTTCTTACAGAATTGATTCCACTTCCAATGTTCTTGTCGAGAAAGTTAGCATTGCTTGACATGGTTTCTGCCATTATTTAGGACTTAGAGAACTAAAAAGAGAAAAGAAGAAGAAAAAAAATCAGTGGTCTTTTACTTATTGAACCGCATATGTAGCTCTGAAGTTGATTGCAGGCTGATAAACATATGCTCATCATAAGGACTCACTTGTGCGGTGTGGTGAGTATCTGCTATTTTGGTACACAGATAGTATTCAACTTCGCCAGTGAACTTGGCACATATGGAAATTATTTGACAGAAAATGCTATTTGGAATAGTATCTTGCTATTTTATGATTATTTATTTATTTTTAATTATGTAAAGTGAGTAAAGCCCACTTGCCATCATTATAAATTGGTTTAATTGCTGAAAAATGAATAATCCTTTTTGTCTTTGCTAATAAAGCCAAATTTGTTTAAAATCTATATATATATAATAAGAATTAACATTTACCATAAATAGTAGTAAGGAAAAGTCAACCACATTTATTATATACTATTTTCAACAACTTTTACATTTTACATTTTAATTTTAATTCATTATAAAAAATTGGATGGTTCCTATATTAATGGGTTTTAAATGCACGTATCATGTTTCAAAAATAATAAATTATTTAAAATCGGAGGGTTCCTAAATTAATGGTTACAAACTTTTTAAAGTTGTAATCTTTATGACATCTTTTCTTTTTGACTTTTAGTAATAAAATTATTTTAAATATATATATTCTAATCCAAAAATTCAATCGTGTTAAATATATATATATATATATATATATATATATATATATAGGGATTGGTTCCAATGCATCCCATTATTTAAAGTGAGAATGTGAGACTCATTCCTAGCCACAAGATTTAGATCTTGATTTAAATAATAATTTTTTATTTTTATTATTTAATTCTTTATTTTTAATTATTTAAATATTATTATGACCATTGACCGTTGACTCCGGCGTTGACCGTTGACTTCCGGCGTTGACTTCTGGCGAAAATCGTTGACTTCCGACGTTGACCGTTGACTCCGGCGTTGACTTCCGACGTTGACCGTTGACCATTTGTCTTTTGTTATGTTATTTCTTTCTTGTTAGGTTAGTTGTGTCTTGTTGCTAGGTTAGTTGTTTGCTGTTGCTAGGTTAGTTATTTGTAGCTGCTATGTTAGTTGAGTTTTGTTGCTAGGTTATTTTTTTCTTGCTGCTAGGTTAGTTGTCTTTTGTTGCTAGGTTAGTTCTTTCTTGCTGCTAGGTTAGTTGTCTTTTGTTGATAGGTTATTTCTTTCTTGCTGCTAGGTTAGTTGTCTGATGGTGCTAGGTTAGTTGTCTTTTGTTGCTAGGTTATTTCTTTCTTGCTGCTAGGTTAGTTGTCTTTTGTTGCTAGGTTATTTCTTTCTTGCTGCTAGGTTAGTTGTCTTTTGTTGCTAGGTTATTTCTTTCTTGCTGCTAGGTTAGTTCTTTCTTAGTTGTGTTTTGTTGCTAGGTTAGTTGTCTGATGCTGCTAAGTTAGTTGTGTTTTGTTGCTAGGTTAGTTGTCTGATGTTGCTAAGTTAGTTGTATTTTTTTTTTATAAAAAAATTGTAACCCATAGGATTTGAACCTGGTACCTCATGGACGCAAGACAAGCAATGCAACCACTATACCACTCAAGGTTGAGTGTCTTTTGTTGCTAGGTTATTTATTTCAATACAACAGGTCAACGCCGGAAGTCAACGGTCAACGCCGGAAGTCAACGATTCTCGCCGGAAGTCAACACCGGAAGTCAACGGTCAACGCCGGAGTCAACGGTCAACTATTTTATTATTTAATTAATGTATATTTTAATTGATTTTGATCTAGACAAAATGAGTGACTAAGATTGAGTCTCACGTACTCATTTTAAGGAGTGGTCTCATTGGATCCACCCCCTATATATATATATATATATATTGAACGCTAAAAATATTTTTTAAATTGCATACTCAATTAATTAATCTTAATTTTTTTTTAAATTACTAGGTTTATTTTTTATTAATATGCATAAAATAAAAATAAATAGTTCATCTTTAGATATATAATTTATAATCTTAATATACTATCATTTGGTGTAGACATATGAATCATAAAATATTTTTATTTCCTAAAATTAAATATTATATTTAAAGAAATAAAGGAAATTACTTTGGATCAATCGGGTGATTGAATTAGGGTACTGCCCACTTTGATTGAATTATTTTTAGGTGATATTTAAAATAGTCAAAAAACTTGACACAACTTGGTTGGTCTGGTGTAACTAAGTTATGTATCAGTTTGACCAGACCAAATTGATTATTAAACCTAAAAATAAATTTTAAATATCGAAAATACTTTATTCCATGAATGAAATGTAGTCCAAACTTCAAATAATCATATTAACAATACTTTTATGACAACATGAATAATGATTTATAAATATTTATATATCATTTTATTATTATTTATGTGAACAAAATATTTATTTCATTGTCATTTTTATTAATGTACGGCAAATATAAGGTTTTTAGAATCGGACCGTCTTGTGGTTGTTCAGATTTTAATACATAATACTTTAATATATACATATATATATATAAAGTGTTACTTAAATATCTAAACAATTTATAAATTCAAATGTTTAAACTAATTGATAAACAATTTATAAATCTCTATTTTATTTAAATATATAATTTTATTTAAAACAATTTTTCATGTAACAAAATTTGTTTAGAAAATCGTATCGATCTTACCAGTCCAACATACTGGTGTTGGCGGATTCGATAGTAAATATTTTATTCAAGCGCACTAAATCGGTTATAAACCGTTTCTCGGTCCATGCGATCGGACTGTGTCCAACTCAGTTTGATTTATAAATAATGGGTAAATCATAATTAATGTTATTTATTTATTTAATTTATAATAATACAATCAAAATATTATTTTTCCGTGCATCGCACGGGCCACGTACTAGTTGGAATAATATAAAGTATCATTTTGTTGCAAATGAATCACAGGGTTGCAAAACGGGTCTACGCTGCTGACATGTCATCTAAAATAGGCCTCTCAGTAAAATTTCAGAATATTTCATGAAGTAACCAATTTATAAAAATTCAAACAACGTTTCTGCAGATTCAATAAATAAAATATTAACCACATCAAATCAACTCCAAAAATTTTAAAAATTTAACACAACATATATAAGTCACAGAGGCATGAGATATTCGAATTTCAGCTCATTTCATTCAGGCATGAATGTTTTATGCATTTAACATTATTCTGGTCAGATTACAATTTAATTATTAAAAATAGCTACAGGCCTCTAAAAATTACGAAATTTTTACACAAGGCAGGCAATGAACAGATAGCATGTCCCTCAAAATTTCAAATCGTTTCGAGCAGCGAGCTATTTTTAAAAATTCAAACACCGAAACAGCGATTAAAAAGCTCGACAACTTAGCAATTAATTCACAACATAAAATTTCTCGTCCGAGGCCTTTTCATTAGACCAAGGACTCGACATTGTTCCAATATCCACCGACTTACACGACTTTCGAGGTCTCGTTCGATTCGCACGAATCGACGAAATACACATACCAACACGACATCAAACGATCACTTAAGCAATTCCACATAACATCATATAGCTCATTAACACTTCAAACAAACACGAAATAAATGTTTTTCTAAAGATCCAGTAATTCTTCACATATCAGTAAATCAAATATTTATGGCACATAGTTATCATGCTAGGCATTTTAAAAAGGTCGGCAGAATAGGTACAAGACCCTTTATTCCATTTAAGTAATTTCTTGGCACAATGAAAGGTTCTTAACACGGCCCATGCATATAAAATTAACATATACTTGGCATTGAATCAACAAATAGCAAATCACTAACAGAATAACAAATCTACAGCCCCAACACATAATAACACACGGCAAAACACAACATAAACATGCCTTTATTTTCTAAACATGAACCACCTGCTCAAAGGTCACCAAATGAACACAATCACTTCTCAAATACACACTCTTACAGTACGCATAATACATAACTTCAGCCTGAAAATCGAAAATCACATCTTCACAATATTCACAATCACCAATTTCAAACACAAAGATAATTATGAAGATAAACGAGAAGTCGAAAATCGATACCGTTCTCGTATAACGAGCGTGAAGGGTTCGAATGAGCTCGGCGGAGGCTCGCGGGCTGTCTCGAATTCGCCGGAAAAACGCGCACAGGGGTCGCCGGTGGTGGTCGCGCGAGTTGCTGAACACCAGAGGTGATGGCGGCGACGGGAGGCGACAGTGATGATGATCGGACGATGATGACGGGATGAAGGAAGGAGAACGATGCTGGTGATGTGAAGACGAAAGAAAAAAATCACAGTGAGAAGAAGAAAAATTGCGATTGATCAAAAGAAAAATATGCTGCGGGCGTTTTGATCTTTAAGGGAGACAATTATATATATATATATATATATATATCTCGGGCTCGATTTCGAATGCAAACGCGCGATAAAGATAAACCGAACAATATATATATATATATATATATATATATATATTTAAATACACATTAATAATTAAAAAAAATCACAAAAATTCAATTAGACAATTACACATTTAGCATTTAATCACATTTGACAATTAATAAATATCATGGCATTCAAGAAAAATAAATATAAATATTATCACAAAAATAACAATAATAATAATAATATACCCCAAATAATCCACAATTAAACGGGGCATTACAGCGTATCACCTTGGGGAGCCCCTGTCCTCTTTGTCAAGAAGAAGGATGGGTCTATAAGAATGTGCACCGACTACCGGGATTTGAACCGGTTGACGGTGAAGAACAAGTATCCGCTTCCCAGGATAGAGGATTTATTCATCAGCTGAGGGGAGCCAGCGTGTTTTCCAAGATAGATCTCCACTCACGTTACCATCAGCTGAATATCAAGGAGGCCGACGTGGCCAAGACAGCTTTCAGAACGAGATACGGTCATTATGAGTTCGTAGTGATGCCGTTTGGTTTGAGCAATGCGCCAGCGGTATTCATGGATCTCATGAATCGTGTCATCCATCCATTCTTAGACCGATTTGTTGTCGTCTTCATTGATGACATTTTGGTCTATTCCAGTAGCCCGGAGCAGCATGAGGAGCACTTGAGGACCGTTTTGGAGACTTTTCGGCGTGAGAAGCTGTACGCCAAGTTCTCAAAGTGCGAATTTTGGCTCGATCGAGTGGCTTTTCTAGGCCACATCCTCACATCCAGATTGATTGAGGTAGACCCGAGGTTCGGAGTTTTCTTGGTTTGGCAGGCTATTATAGACGATTCATCGAGGGATTTTCAAAGATTGCCCTACCTTTGTCCCGTTTGACGAGAAAGTCGG